TTCTCTGCAGATCCTCTCAAGCTCTGTCAGGTTGGATAAGGAGCGTCGCTGCACAGCTATTTTCAGGTCTCACCAGAGATGTTCGATCGGGTTCAAGTCTGGGCTCTGGCTGGGCCAACCAAGGACATTCAGAGACTTGTCCCGAAGCCACTCCTGCGTTGTCTTGGCTGGGTCGTTGTCGTGTTGGAAGGTGAACCTTCGCCCCAGCCTGAGGTCCTGAGAGCTTTGAAGCAGGTTTTCATCAAGGATCTCTCTGTACTTTGCTCCGTTCATCTTTCCCTCGATCCTGACTAGTCTCCCAGTCCCTGCCGCTGAAAACATCCCCACAGCATGATGCTGCCAACACCATGCTTCACCATAGGCATGGTGCCAGGTTTCCTCCAGATGTGACGCTTGGCATTCAGGCCAAAGAGTCCAATCTTGGTTTCATCAGACCAGAGAATCTTGTTTCTCATGGTCTGAGAGACCTTTAGGCAAACTCCAAGAGGGCTGTCCTGTGCCTTTTACTGAGGAGTGGCTTCCGTCTGGCCACTCTACCATAAAGGCCTGATTGGTGGAGTGCTGCAGAGATGGCTGTCCTTCTGGAAGGTTCTCCCATCTCCACAGAGGAACTCTGGAGCTCTGTCAGAGTGACCATCGGGTTCTTGGTCACCTCCCTGACTAAGGCCCTTCTCCCCCGATTGCTCAGTTTGGCTGGGCGGCCAGCTCTAGGAAGAATGTTGGTGGTTCCAAACACAATCATGTCTCAGAGCTCTACGGACAATTCCTTCAACCTCATGGCTTGGTTTTTGCTCTGACATGCACTGTCAACTGTGGGACCTTATATAGACAGGTGTGTGCCTTTCCAAATCATGTCCAATCAATTGAATTTACCACAGGTGGACTCCAATCAAGTTGTAGAAACATCTCAAGGATGATCAATGGAAACAGGATGCACCTGAGCTCAATTTCGAGTCTCATAGCAAAGGGTCTGAATGCTTATGTAAATAAGGTATTTCTGTTTTTTATTTGTAATAGATTTTCACACAAAAAAATAAACCTGTTTTCGCTTTGTTATTATGGGGTATTGTGTGAAGATTGATGAGGAAAAATGAATAATTTAATCAACTTTAGAATAAGGCTGTAACGTAACAAAATGTGGAAAAAGTCAAGGGGTCTGAAAACTTTCCCAATGGACTGTACACAATCCATGTCTCAAGGCTTAAAAATCCTTTCACCTGTCTCCTCCCCTTTATCTACACTGATTATATGACATCAATAAAGGATCATAGCTTTCACCTGGATTCACCTGGTCAGTCTATTTCATGGAAAGAGCAGGTATTCATAATGTTTTGTACACTCAGTGTATATCCAATATATACTGAACAAAAATATAAATGCAACAATTTCCAATATTTTACTGAGTTTCATATAAGGAAATCAGTCAATTGAAATAAATTCATTAGGCCCTAATCTATGGTTTTCACATGACCGGGAATACAGATATGCATCTGTTGGTCACAGATACCTTAAAAGAAAAAGGTAGGGGCATGGATCAGAAAAGCAGTCAGTATCTGGTATCACCACCATTTGCCTCATGCAGCGCGACACATCTCCTTTGCATAGAGTTGATCAGGCTGTTGACTCTGGCCTGTGGAATGTTGTCCCACTCCTCTTCAAAGGCTATGCGAAGTTGCTGGGTATTGGCGGGAACTGGAACAGGCTGTCGTACACATCGATCCAGAGCATCCCAAACATGCTCAATGGGTGACATGTCTGGTGAGTATTATAATATAATATATAATATAATATAATATAATAATATGCAGGCCATTTCAGCTTCCAGGAATTGTATACAGATCCTTGCGACATGGGGCTGTGCATTATCATGCTGAAACATGAGGTGATGGCGGCGGATGAGTGGCAAGACAATGGGCCTCAGGATCTCGTCACGGTATCTCTGTGCATTCAAATTGCCATCGATAAAATGCAATTGTGGTTATTGTCCTTAGCTTATGTCTGCCCATACCATAACCCTACCACCACAATGGGCCGCTCGGTTCACAACGTTGACATCAGCAAACTGCTCGCCCACACAACACCATACACGTGGTTTGCGGTTGTGAGGCTGGTTAGATGTACTGCCAAATTTTTCTAAAACGACATTGTGTCTTATGGTAGAGAAATTAACATTCAATTCTCTAGCAACAGCTCAGTGGACATTCCTGCAGTCAGCATGCCAATTGCACGTTCCATCAAATCTTGAGACATCTATGGCATTGTGTTGTGTGACAAAACTGCACATTTTAGAGTGGCCTTTTATTGTCCCCAGCACAAGGTGCACCTGTGTAATGATCATGCTGTTTAATCAGCTTCTTGATGTGCCACACCTGTCAGGTGGATGGATTATCTTGGCAAAGGAGAAATGCTCACTAACAGGGATGTAAACAATTTTGTGCACACAATTTGAGAGAAATACGTTTTTTCATTTCTGGGATCTTTTAGTTCTGCTCATGAAACATGGGACCAACACTTTACATGTTGCGTTTATATTTTTGTTCAGTCTAGTTTATTTAATCAATTGAAGAACAAATTCAAATAATACAGCTATATACACCTACTTCACACCCTAGCTAACTAATAAAACATTGTATTAGCCTACACAATAACACAGATTATTTTACCAGACTCACAACATTTTCCTTTCTTTCTGTGCCACCACGTTTGCATACTACTGGTAAAGTGAACAGGTTTAGCAAATACTGTAACATTAGTACTGTAACATCTTACTACACAACATACACTTAGTATTACTTTCTTAGCTACAGTATACATATCTCCCTGACATATTACTTAATTTATGCTCACTTGAACAGGAAAGTGGCGCGGCGGTTCTTTGTGGACAAATTTTGTAATCAAAGAAAGAGGCCGGGTTTACAATTCCGAGTTGGATGACTGTTCAAAATGTATTTTCCCAGTCGGAGCTCGTTTTTTCCCAACTTCCCAGTTGCATTGCTTGCAGTTAGCCACTGTCACCGATTCCTTCCAAACCTCTCATTGTCAAATTTGCGATTTCGACAACTTGTTGTGTAATGTTTATGACCAATGATTAGCACCGATACGTTTTATCTATAATTTCTCTTCATTATTTCTCTTCATATGACAAGGATTTGCCAATAGATTGGACTTGATTCATGGTGATGACTGCTAGCTAAGATTTTGAAAGTAAGATGTTGAAATGATCAGTCCAATCAAAGCTACTGTACATATAACATGATTTGACGTCAATGACCTTAAGCCTTCTGGTAAGGGCACTTCTAATGTAACTCTATGGCAGCACCCAAGGGGCTTGAATTTTTTAGCTCTACCCTTAGACTTGGCGGTGATGTAGTGTCCCCATGAGTGACAAAACACTGCTCCATATTTTCTGCTGGCTTGCCCCACCACCACAGAAAGCACTGAGCTAGGCTGAAACACCTGCATTTTGGAGATGCCTTATTCAAGAAAAAAAAAAGAGACAGTTTTTGTATGCGGCTTTATTAACTCTATTATATATATATTTTTTACATTGTTTGCAAACTGATATGTGACACGTATTAATGCCAAAATAACATGTTTTTTTGTTGTTGTTTTTGCAAAACGTGGGGCTCAAAACAGGTGGGGCACCTGCCCTGAATGACGGGTCGCCACTGCTGGTAAGGTTGAACGCCTCCTCTCCTACTCAGCCTCCTGAAAAAAGCTTCTCCCAAGCGGGTGTGACACCTACTCCCACTGCCTGCTGCACTGCTGCTTGGATCCCACCCGGCGATCTGCTCCCCGTCGTCTGCCCTGGTCTTTCTCCCCCTGTCTGGTACAGGTACCCCCGCCACACTCCCCCCTCTCTCCAGAGCTTTCACTCGCCTCCAGCACACACACACATACACACACCGCAGACTTTGGACTGATCTGAATTGTATGTAGGCTAATTAACTTGTAAGGTTTATTATGTGAGCTTTACTCAGAATGAACTAGTATAGGCCTACTATTTATTTATTCTATCTCAGACTTTTATAGCCTACTGGACTCATAGAGAGCTACTCTTTCAAGTTATTTTGTTGGGGTGAGTGACTCTTGAACTTACAATGGCTAGTCCCCAAGCTGTTTTATTTTTTTATTGTGCTTTATATGCTATTTGCTATGAACTTGCTCGTTTACCCGACCGTGGGACAGACTGTTTGTTCCCACACTTGTGATTCTGACTCTGTTGGTTACACAGACTCTTGGCCTCCCATCCTATTCTAACCACATCTCGCCAGCTTTGTATTCATGCTACCTGATGAAATTTCTGTACAATATGATCTAGTTGACATCTGATGCACATTCAAATGTAATAAAAAAATCTACACAGCAGAGCTTTCCCTGTCCTCTGATTGTATTACTGGTGATGATATCTGGAAACGTGCATGTGCACCCTGGCCCGTCTACTGTTGCTAGCCGCAATTCTGACTTGTGCTCTGATTTCTGCTTCACTGATTTCTGCTCTTGTAAAAGTCTGTTTTTTCTGCACGTTAACACTAGAAGCTTATTACCTCAAATTGATCAATTGAAAGTGTGGGTTCACAGCTCCAATCCATATGTGTTGGTCATTACTGAGACGTGGTTAAGAAAGAGTGTTCTGAACACTGACGTTAACCTTTCTGGTTATAACTTTTTTCGGCAAGACAGATCTTCCAAAGGTGGTGGAGTGGCAATCTTTACCAAGGAACACATTCAGTGCTTGGTTGTCTCCACCAAGTCTTTCCCCAAACAATTTGATTTGCTGATTTTAAGCATTGAGCTTTCAGATAGCTTTTTGTGTTATCGTCCACCATCAGTACCGGCCTGTACCCTACCTGCCCTAAACTCTCTCCTGGCCCCTTACACTGAGTCTGAATTTGTCCTGCTAGGTGACCTAAACTGGGACATGCTTAAACCACCTGACCAAGTCTTAAAACAATGGGACTCCCTAAATCTCTCTTAGATTATTACCTATCCCACAAGGTATGACTGCAAACACACAGAAAAGGAAAATGAGAATTAAAAACAAGTTCATCCCCTGGTTCGACCGTGATCTGGCAGAGTTACTCCACCTCAAGAACACCATTTGGTGAAAGGCTCGGCACACAAATACTCGTCATTCAGGCAAATTAGAAAAAAGTGCACTCAGGCTATCCGGAAGGCTAAAGTTAGTTACTTTAAGGAACAGGTCTCTCTCTGTGGGTCTAACCCCAAGAAGTTCTGGAAAACGGTGAAAGACCTGGAGAATAAACACTTCTCCTCACAGCTGCCCATGTCCCTTAATGTTGGTGATGTGGTTGTTACTGACAAGGAGCGTACGGCTGAGCTCTTTAATCACCACTTCATTAAGTCAGGATTCCTATTTGACTCAGCCATGCCTCCTTGCCCGTCCAACATTTCCTCATCTCCCAGCCCTTCTAATGTGACTAGACTTGATGCTCCTCCCTCTTTTTCCCCTGTCCCGCTACAAAGTTTCTCCCTGCAGGCGGTCACGGAGTCTGAGGTGCTAAAGGAGCTCCTTAAACTTGACCCCAAAAAAACATCTGGCTCAGATGGTTTAGATTCTTTCTTCTTTAAGGTTGCAGCCCCTATCATCGCCGAGCCTATCTCTCACCTTTTTAACCTGTCTCTCCTCTCTGGGGAGGTTCCCATTGCTTGGAAGGCAGCCACAGTGCGTCCTTTATTTAAAGGGGGAGATCAAGCTGATCCTAACTGTCATAGGCCAATTTCTTTCTTGCCCTGTTTATCAAAAGTGTTGGAAGAACCTGTCACTAATCAACTGACTGGCATTCTTGATGTCTATAGCATTATCTCTGGTATGCAATCTGGTTTCTGCTCAGGCTATGGATGTGTCACTGCAACCTTAAAGGTCCTAAATAATGTCACCATTGCCCTTGATTCTAAGCAATGCTGTGCTGCTATTTTTATTGACTTGGCCAAAGCTTTTGATACGGTAGACCATTCCATTCTTGTGGGTCGGCTAAGGAGTATTGGTGTCTCTGAGGGGTCTTTGGCCTGGTTTGCTTACTACCTCTCTCAAAGAGTGCAGTGTATAAAGTCAGAACATCTGCTGTCTCAGCCACTGCCTGTCACCAAGGGAGTACCCCAAGGCTCGATCCTAGGCCCCACACTCTTCTCAATTTATATTAACAACATAGCTCAGATAGTAGGAAGCTCTCTCATCCATTTATATGCAGATGATACAGTCTTATACTCAGCTGGCCCCTCCCCAGATTTTGTGTTAAATGCTCTACAACAAAACCTTTCCAACAAGCTTTCTCTGTCCTTAACCTTGTTCTGAACACCTCCAAAACTAAGTTAATGTGGTTCGGTAAGAAAAATGCCCCTCTCCACACCGGTGTGATTACTAGCTCTGAGGGTTTAGAGCTTGAGGTAGTCACCTCATACAAGTACTTGGGAGTATGGCTAGATGGTACACTGTCCTTCTCACAGCATATATCCAAGCTGCAGGCTAAGGTTAAATCTAGACTTGGTTTCCTCAATCTTATCGCTCCTGTTTCACCCCAGCTGCCAAACTAACCCTGATTCAGATCACCATCCTACCCATGCTAGAATACAGAGACGTAATTCATAGATTGGAAGGTAAGGGTGCTCTCAAGCGGCTAGATGTTCTTTACAATTTGGCCATTAGAGTTTCCACCAATGCTCTTTATAGGACACATCACTGCACTCTATACTCCTCTGTAAACTGGCCATCTCTGTATACCCGATGCAAGACCCACTGTTTGATGCTTATTTATAAAACCCTCTTAGGCCTCACTCCTCCCTATCTGAGATACCTACTGCAATCCTGATTCGCCACATACAACACCCGTTCTGCCAGTCACATTCTGTTAAAGGTCCCCAAAGCACACGACTGGAATGAGCTGCAAAATACACTAAAACTGGACAGTTTTATCTCCATCTCTAGATTCAAAGACTCAATCATGGACACTTATTGACACTTGTGGCTGCCCCATGTGATGTATTGTTGTCTCTACCTTTTTGCCCTTGGCGCTATTGTCTGTGCCTAACAATGTTTGTACCACGTTTGTGCTGCTACCATGTTGTGCTGCTGCCATGTTGTGTCACTAATGTGTTGTTGTCATGTTGTGTTGCTACCATGCTGTGCTGTCATGCATTGCTGCCATGCTGTGTTGTTGTCTTAGGTCTCTCTTTATGAAGTGTTGTGGTGTCTCTGTTGTTGTGATGTGTGTTTTGTCCTACTTTTTATTTTTTACCCCAGCCCCAGTCCCCGCATGAAGCCTTTTGCCTCTTGGTAGGCTGTTATTGTAAATAAGAATTGTTCTTAACTGACTTGCCTAGTTAAATAAAGGTTAAATAAAATTACACATATACCATGTCTCTCCTGTTCTATTGGTTTTCATATCAACTTTCTTTCGTTTTCCAGAAGCCAAATGCACAATCCTAGTCATTTTAGCAACCCATCCTAGTTGTTGCATCTTTAGATTCACCCTCTTTCTAAGCTTCTAACTGAGATGTTCATCTCTGTCATATACCACTGGCATCAATCAGGTGAGCTGTTTAGAATGGTGTTTTCCCGCGAATTGCATTTTAGCAAATGTTTGAAAATTACGTTTTTTGGCTGCTCCATTACAGGAGTTGGATGTTCTGTTAAGATGAATTACCATAATGTAAATGTGATTTCTGTCATTCTGAGCACCTTGGGTGGAAGCCCTAATGGGTTACACACCCAATGCATATGGATCCGGTTGTGTAGTTGCGCACTTGTGCTGCCTACGTAATAATAACGGGCTTGTTTGTCAAGGGACATTTGTGGTGTTTTTTTGTTCACATTTATCCTGTGTAATGTGTTAATTATGCAACGTGATTGCACTTATTTTTACTTAAATATGTCGGGGTATTTTATGCTGTATTTTTGTTGGAAAATGTTGGCCCAGCAACTTTTACTTATGCCCAGCCACACAGCAATTTCTGCCTACGACGATGGGTTATTGTCTCTGGTTTTGAATCTGAATTTAAAGAACTGAATGCAGTATTCATTCAATTCAGTTTCAAATAATGAAATACAAGTTTAATTTATGAATTCAATTATTCAATTTGTGCATTACAAATACAAAAATGTAAACGATAATACCATTTCTGTTGGCACTGAAATCGCTCCATATACACCCCCTTACCTTGAATGTATTGCTATAATTTGCAATTCAGAAAACCATTCTGGCACTGTATATGTAGTGGTCGTATATTCATGGGTGCCAAAGGAAGCCAGCCTTCCCGAAATATTTTATCAATAAAAATTATGAAATAATTAATTTTTCGTCTTTCTATGTTTTCAAAATGTTCTGTCAATTCGGAAGTGGCTGAATCTCACCGGAGAAATCATCCGAGCGAGGGAAACAGCGTCCCTCTGTCTCTGTATGTGTATGTGTAGCCCATGTATCTGATGCTGTATGGACCATGCATGTTGCCTTGCGCCATAGCATTTGATTGATTGATGCCAGCAAGCATTTGGCCTCCCTAGACATTTTTTTATATTTATTTTATTTAACCTTTATTTAACCAGGTTAAATAAAATAAATATTGGATTGGTGTGAAGACAAATCCAAACTTTTGTTTTACTTGCACACTCACACGCACACACACACACACACACACACACACACACACACACAGACAGAAATCAGTACCATGGGCAGCCAAATGATATTTACCTAACTTGATTGGACTAAATTGTTTTAGGTATCTTTAAGTTTGTTTTCAGTGTATTAAACTAAGCATATACAGTATAGCCTTGTTGATTTGATGTGTAAATATTGAAGTTGAACTGGTGCTGGAATAGCGGAGTCAGTGCTGCTGTTGTCTTTGTGCTGACTTTTGGTAACTCGATTGTTCTAAATCAGTAGTTGTTTAGTAAACTGCTGAAAACATTTAACTTGCTGGACCATGCTGCAGGTGATATAACTGTTTGTTATTTGCAGTATTTGCATTGTGAACTTGACCGGACAGATGTTGCTCTCCGGTTTTGTAATGAAGCAAACGTATGTGCCACTGTGTGAATTGTCATTTTGTTGTCACGGCCTTATTGTATATCAAGGTAGGTTGTAATATGGCTTTTTTACTGGCTTGGCTTTGCTTCCTCACTGATTTTACCCACACACCGCTATACTGTGTATGTGACTGTTTTCCCAGGTGATGTCATACCTGAGTTAGTTTCTGAGAAGATACAAGATGTCTTGAAGCAGATTGTGAGGCCGTTTGCATTAAATAAGGTAAGTCATTGATTGTGCCTAAAATGCAATTCATGTAGGCTAAAACTGATTTACAGGTAAATACAACACCCAAGTTAGTTTTGGGGGGGGGTTCAGATGTAGGTCTACTACACATGTCTGATCATTATTATTGCTTTATTGTATAGTTCAGCTCTTTCAAGGTAATTGATCAGCTCAACCTCTGAATGACCTCTCAACTGGCCAAACATGCACTCCACAGGGCATCAAGCCTTGAAGAGTCAACATAACAAGCGCAACATAATTCAAAGCGCATGTGTTTCATGAACTGACATAGTGACAGTAAACATGTTGGTTATTTCAGTTGTTTTATTAGATGGAGTACTGTATAGTAAGCTTATCCAGATAAAGTTATTACCTTATCCATTCAACAGTTTTATTACATTAACCAAGTGATTTATCACATTATCCAGTTTTATTACATTACCCTATAAAATAAAACCATCACAGTAAGTTATTACAGTATCCATTGTTAATACGTTGTTATAGCCTACCAGTTGAAGGGCTACAGCATAGATATACATGTATGTTGGCCTTATCATATGTTTATTATTTATAATGATGTTCTACTGTATTTAGTTATATCGTCTACAATTTACAAAGCTGCAACTTTTGGAGTGCCTTACTGGAATTGAACCCTTAATAGTTTCACGTTTAAATGTACTGTGCAAACAAATATCCACAGTTTTGAGTATCACAAAGCCTATCCTTTCACTGTCCATCACAAAAAGCGCTCTCGACTCTACGGGTGAGCAGGGGCTCTAGCAAAGATTCCTCAGTGACAGCGCGCGTGCTGTCATCGGGCTAGGCGGGTGATGCCCCACATGTAGGAGCAGCAATCAACCTAATATCTGTGGGCAAAACAACGTTTGTTATGACTGAATGCGTCGGTGAAAAGCTACACAAACCTTGGGGGATCTTATGACATACGTTTGTACTCAGATATAGGCCTGAATAATATCATTGGACGCATGCATAGAAATCGTGGATAATTTGGAAGAAATTGCACTGAAACGATGAGTTGTAGATGGGGGACGGAGCTGTGGGTAAGTAGAACCGCGAAAGCACGACCGAGTGATAACGGCGCAAATATATTCGTGAATGAAACCTGTTTTAACCATTGCTTTAATTTGATGGACAACCTTTGATCTGTTCCGATACAAACGACATGTGGATGTCATTGTCTTGCAACAAGGTAGCGAGCTTAAAGCTCCTGCTGCCATGATGCTTTTCTGCGCATGCATGCAGCCTTTATTATCGGAGGTATGGTGGCGGATTCTATACTGGATCGACTGTTAGGCTACACGGTTGGATACAGCATCAGATTTTACAGTCATGAATTAATATAGCCTACTTTTGTTTTTAACCTCAAGATCTATCCCGCCATACAGCCTACGTTAGAAGCAATAGGCTAGTTGTTTTCAATATCCTACCCTATTAGCCTATTACAATCACTAAGCCATTGCAAATGGGGTCCATACTGTGCACATACAGTAAATGCTACAGCTACATAGCGACTCTAGTAACGTTTAATTTGAAACATTGCCCCAGAGAGCGGTATTGTAGGCTACGCATTTGGGAATGCGTTTCCCCGCGTTGTCTGCCTTATTTCACCTTATAGCTGAAATAGCTATTAAAGCTAGGACAATGAATAACAGGGCCAGCAGGTTGAACGGATCCTCATACACCACGTTTTTTCGCTCATAGAAGGGCCTATTGCAAATATCAGGGAGGGTGACGTCTAAAATAACGCCTTAAATATTTGTAACGTTATGGAATTAGTTTTTGTTTGGAAATGGAAACAAGGCCTATAGTTGAAGAGGATTGTTTTTATTTTATGCCTACAGGTGTGCACAAATAGCCTATGCATTGCAGAGATTCAAAAGTAACCACATATGTTCATTTGAGTTCACAGCATATACTATTCCACCGCACCAACTGAATGTCAATAGTCTTATTATGTTCCCAATTTGTCTCCTGTAGCTTATGTTGTGGGCTTACATACAATGTACAGTAGTAGCTGTACAGCAGCAGAATGTAAAGAAGCAGCAGAGTTTGCCAGGTACCTCAACTCCTCCATGGAGTTGAGCACTGACTAGAGTTTTTGAAATGAACCTCTTGACTCCTACAAGTCCCTATGCGTCGATACTTAACAAATGTACATTCTTAAACCCTTTTCATGTACCTATGTTTGTCCTCTGTTGTTGCGTGCCTTTCTTTGTTTGCTGAAATCCATACTTTTAAATAAAACGTTAATAAAATACCTCATGGCTGTTGGTCAAAGATGGCAACTCAGCAGGAATGTGCATGTGCCAATTGAATCCTAACAAGGAAACAGTAGGTGGTTGTATTTGATTAACGTTTTATTAAAACGTGTGGATTTCAGCAAACAAAGAAAGGTACGCAACAACAGAAGAAAAACATAGGTACATGGTAATGGTTTAAAATGTACATTTTTTAAAGTATTGATGCATAGCGAGTCAGAGGTTAATTAAAAAAACTGCAGAGTTAGCCTACTGTTGCAACAAAGACCTACTGTTGCAACAAAGACTGTTGTAGACAGTCTATCCCTCTCATTTAACGATAATAGCTATTTTCTGTAAAATGTTCATGAACATTGCCTCATGCCTGCAAAATAAATGAATGTTCTTTAGGAAGAAAATACACAAATCAGTGTAACCTGGTCTACTTGGGAATATTGCTTTGTTTTGATAATTTATTCTTATTTTATTCTCAATCTCTTTTCTTATAGGACCAGTTTGACAACTTGGAAAAGCACACCCACTGGGGCATTGAGTTTGTGGAGAAGTATACAAAGTTTGTCAAAGAGAGATCTGAAATTGAAATCAGCTATGCAAAGCAAATCAGGTAGGGCTGGGAAAACATTCCCCTCTTCACTTCCCATTTTGCTATTGTCTGTCTCTCATGGCGAAGGCGTTGCAGTATGAGTAGCCTACAGTACTAATAAAACATATGTTTTGGTATGTTTTGTTGATTTCAGTAACTTTGATAAATACTACAGAGCCTGCATCACCAATGTCATCCAAGTCATGCCACGATCAAGTGCAATGCATGTCATGAGATGATGCTCACAAGTGACAAAATGATCTCTGGTATCCACATTTTCATATACATTTCAGACATGCATACACCAAGGCTAGAGGGTCCAGTGGTACATGTGTCAGCTGTCGCTCTAGTGTATCACTACACCATCTTGTTCAGGTGGTTTTTGTAATTAAAAGAGAATGCCTTCTCAATAACCCCGGGTTAAACAAAGGTAAAAATAAAATGTTTGAATTTCAGCCCACTTCAAAGCAATCTTCTAAATTCGGAGGTGAATGTAGCCAGGCCTACCCAAAGGTGGTAGTTTATGTAGGAAGTAGCAACTAAGTGAGATAGATGAATACAGATACATACGGGCCTGTAACTACGTGCAACCGGAAGTGTAAGCCGGGTAGGCAATGCATTACCATGGTTACTAGGGTATCCACAGCAATGACCCACATTTGTTTCCCTCCAATGGTCTTGGGAGCTTCCCACTGTATAATATGGGAGTACTTGCCAGACAGTGATAGTCTCTGACAGAGCAGTCCCCGGGGACAGTGGATGAGTTGCATCGCTGTCTGCCGTGCACTCACCAAGGAATACACAGCAGCAAATTCCTGCATGCATAATCACCCAACATCAACCTTTTTTCTGGACATCATATCAAGAGGTTTTCTGCCTCAGCAATAGTGCTGCGGTCAGCTCTGAACTAGATTATTCATTGGGTGTGTTTTGTTCTCCAGCCAGTATCATTAATAGTGGCACCATTTTAAGTTGCATATGAAGTGTTTTGTTAAATTGTGATTTTTCATCACTAACCATAATATATTTGTTTCTCTACATATGTTAGTTCATACTATAGTTGATGTGGTATATTGATTAAGGCAACCTTAGACTAAACACACCAGAATATGAAGAGCACGGATTGGACACTGAATGGAGGAATTAAGCCTTCAAAATTAAGCAAAAAGCCCCAAAAGACAAGCAGGTCCTTAAAAAACCAGAGAAAACAGACAGCTTGTTAGTCATTTTATTTTCAAAGTGTTAACATGAATCTGGGTGTATGGGATTTGCGCCATGTGCTGTGGTGTCAGGATCCAGATTTGTCATGTGGCTGCAAGTGGACGAAAAGCGGCAATCTGCCTAGCAACACATCCGAATAGATGGTGTGGCTCAGAGCACAGGGAGTGGAGGCTACCAGTGGAGGCTACCAGTCAGAGGGGGAGAAATGTATTCTGGATTTTTTTACCGCTGTGTCAGTATGGTAGCCTCTGTTTCTGCTTATGATAGTCCACTCAGAGGATGCATAATTACAAATGTAATATTTTTTTTTTTTTTTTTGAACCGTAAGCGTCATTGTACAGATAGTATGATGATATTTCAAGATTAATCTTGCGCATACAGTTGTGATTTCATAGTAAGCGTAGGCTCTAACTCCCGTTGGATTAATCATCCTGAGATTTACAATAAAGCTAAGGGATGACTTCCTGACACTGCCCCTCAGATGCTGCTCTTTCTTGTCCAATCACTCTGTTGTTTTTAGAGATGGGTACATATGAGGTCCAGATGCAGAGGTACACAGAGGATAATCCGTCAGTCAGCTTGTGCTTTTGACATCCTGTCACTGGGCGTCCCTTTCCCATGAGTACACAAACATACAATATTTGTGTTTACATGTCTCCTTCTGTATCTCTCCACAGTCCCTGATTTACAGTGTACTGTATGTTTTCCACGCCTGTACTGAACGTTGTTCCCATTCCCTAACAGAAACCTCTCTAAAAAATATCAGCCCAAGAAAAACTCAAGAGAGGAAGAAGAATACAAGTGAGTGAAATGCATCAAGGATTAATGTTCACGATATCAGGTTGACCGTGTACATGAATGTGGCTATTATTTTTGTGATGATTGTACTGTCATGTTATTCATTAGCTGATTTCCATCTCCACTCATTACCGGCTGTTAGTGGGTAAAAATAGCTGTTTCAGATTAACAAGGCTGCACTTTCATGGCTTCCAGCGAAACACTCCATATCTGCCCGGAGAACACTGTGTAGCTAAAGCCAAGGTTATTTCCACAAGGATTGTCTTTTCGTCAAGGTGTTATCCTTCATCATATGTGCAAAACAGTTGGACAGTTCCAAGACACATGAACAGAGTGACCTTTTGAGAGAAAATTAGAGACGTTTCTTAAGGCAAGGGAGGAAGCCTTTGAAGGAGGTTGTGCCAGATGAGGGCTTTATCCATGTCTTATTTCCCGTCTTAGTCACGAAATCACAAAAATCTAATTCTATGTATGTCCTATCGTTTAAAGACACTGTCGAAGTGGCCAGTAAATTATATAATTTCAATATTAACGGTTATATTCTCTAGTACCTATTAATTATTTCTTATGGTAATAAATATGACGCAAACATTCCTCTCAGATAATGTAATGTGCTGACGATCGTCAGTAACAGTATTACATTAATATTTCTCAGGATGCATAGTAATAAAGCGGTTGTGATTAGAGTAATTAAATATGAAATAAGTGAGTGTTTTTAAACACGTTTTGTGGTCACGTCTCGTCTTGTTACCAGGTACACGTCCTGTCGGGCCTTCCTGATGACCCTGAATGAACTGAACGATTATGCGGGACAACACGAGGTCATCGCTGAGAATCTCACCACTCACATCATCTGTGAGCTGACGCGCTACATCCAGGAGCTGAAAGCAGAGAGGAAATCGGTAAAACATCCCCTTTCCTGTGCATCGCTCACTTAGACGTGAATTCTACTCTCCCAGATCATGCTCATTGGCAGCTCAACCATTTTGCGGCTAGACTATCCAGAGATTATTGATATCACATGATCTGAGCCAAACCAGCCAATCCCTGGTCAACCAGTGGCGGCTCAATGCTTCCAAAAATGTTTTATTAAAAAAAAAATTATCCCCACTCCCAAAAATCAAATCAGCAAATGCAATTGCTGGAGCAGATGCAATTATGTCATTGGTGATTTTCATTGCTCTGTACCACACAGCCAGGGATCAAGCGGAGAATCTGTCATGATGTTGCTCATAATTGTATACCGCCACATCCAATACATCCCAGGGATGGAACTGGGTCAAGTATCCAGGTCAATGGATTGGGAACAGGTTGGCCCTACTCCCCCCACCCATCCATAGTAGCCTCCAATATGGTGCTACTCATAAGTGGACCAGGCCTCTGTCTGGAGCTGGTGGCTGGAACTAATATAATGGGGGGAGGGGTGGAATGTATAGCAGCTCTTTTCTTCTCCCCCCCACACACAGTTTTGTAAGGCTTTGGTTGTGGCCTTTTGTCTGACAGAATGTCTTTGACAATGGCTCAGCTCAGAGCGAGAATAGTTAATACTTATTAGTTTAATAAAACATTTTTTTTTCTGGACTGCCATTTTTGTTGGATGGTTTTTATTTTCTAACCTGTAGTAAAGGTAGCTTTGATCGATAGCTCACTCCGATGTATGCTTTTTCATTCATTAAATTCCCAACCAGAACATGGTGTAAGTTAAATGAGGTCCTGCAACCAGGCATTGAACATAAGCTTTGTACACCACATGAACACAATAACATTTACTGCTCCAATAATTTAAATTAAACTTACAACAAAAGCAGAAGCGCCTTTGGGTCTTCATCTGTGAATGCCCTTTAAAGTTGTTTTATACGCTGTGAGCAGCATTGACTCAGTCAAGAATATGTGTAAGTGTTGGGGTGAGGTGTGACCCAGGTGCGGTGCAGGATATACAGTAGGCAGTAGGCAGAGATGGTGAAACAAGGATCTTTACTGGTGATCCCGAAGCCAAAATACCAAAGAACGGACTTATCACAATAAAAGAAAGGCGTAGCAAATGTCTCCAAAAACCGTCTGACAGCCAAAATATCAAATACTACCTAAGACTGAAACAAATAACGAAACAGGGAGAATACTTCTCAAGTACCTGTACATAGATCTCCGATCAGACACTGAGTAGTACTGCTGGACATAGAGAAACTAGCAGAGAAAACTGAGGAAGGGAACACAGGGAAGTGAGGGCATAAATACACAGGTGAACCGATAGACACAGGTGACACCAATAGGATGATGATTAGTCCCGACTGTGAGTGAGGAGGTGCCTAAGGTTGTCGGAGGTTGACACCTAGTGGGTCGCTCCGGAACTGCGACCTCCTCCTGTAACAAATATGCACATCAGCAAGTCACATAAGTCAGTTTAGTTTTGGCTCAGTAGTTTTGCTTCCATGCAAAGGCTAAGGAGCAGATTTTATGCCTTTTTGTTAGGGATATTGTGTGTTTTGTCTATCTTTTTCATTAATCATAAGGAGTATCGTAAGAGCTGTCGTAAGAGATGTAGAAGTCTCTTGACTGATAGTAAATTGATAGTAAATTGCTCTGCGTTCAAACCAGAAATGATTCTACTACTGTTTTAAGTGTTTCAACTTATTTTATTATGTTTTTTTTTTACTCAGCATTTCCATGATGGCCGCAGAGCTCAGCAACACATTGAGAACTCTTGGAAACAACTAGAATCCGTAAGTGTCCTCCTGACGAGTAGGTTTGAGTAATTGAAGAAATGAACGATACGCGACTGAACCATTCCCACTTGACATGTGAATTGCCTCTCCTCAGAGTAAACGGAGATTTGAGAGAGACTGCAAGGAGGCGGACAAAGCCCAGCAGTACTTTGACAAGATTGATGCTGACATCAATGTGACTAAAGCAGACGTCGAAAAAGTAAGTTATTGACTGACAATGGGTAGCAGTGTGTGGGTGCGTGCGTGTGTGTGTGCGGGTGCGTGTGTACAGTGGGGAAAAAAAGTATTTAGTCAGCCACCAATTGTGCAAGTTCTCCCACTTAAAAAGATGAGAGAGGCCTGTAATTTTCATAATAGGTACACGTCAACTATGACAGACAAATTGAGAAAAAAAATCCAGAAAATCACATTGTAGGATTTTTTATGAATTTATTTGCAAATGATGGTGGAAAATAAGTATTTGGTCACCTACAAACAAGCAAGATTTAAAGGCTCTCACAGACCTGTAACTTCTTCTTTAAGAGGCTCCTCTGTCCTCCACTCGTTACCTGTATTAATGGCACCTGTTTGAACTTGTTATCAGTATAAAAGACACCTGTCCACAACCTCAAACAGTCACACTCCAAACTCCACTATGCCCAAGACCAAAGAGCTGTCAAAGGACACCAGAAACAAAATTGTAGACCTGCACCAGGCTGGGAAGACTGAATCTGTAATAGGTAAGCAGCTTGGTTTGAAGAAATCAACTGTGGGAGCAATTATTAGGAAATGGAAGACATACAAGACCACTGATAATCTCCCTCGATCTGGGGCTCCACGCAAGATCTCACCCCGTGGGGTCAAAAAGATCACAAGAACGGTGAGCAAAAATCCCAGAACCACACGGGGGGACCTAGTGAATGACCCGCAGAGAGCTGGGACCAAAGTAACAGAGCCTACCATCAGTAACACACTACGCCGCCAGGGACTCAAATCCTGCAGTGACAGACGTGTCCCCCTGCTTAAGCCAGTACATGTCTAGGCCCGTCTGAAGTTTGCTAGAGTGCATTTGGATGATCCAGAAGAGGATTGGGAGAATGTCATATGGTCAGATGAAACCAAAATATAACTTTTTGGTAAAAACTCAACTCGTCATGTTTGGAGGAAAAAGAATGCTGAGTTGCATTCAAAGAACACCATACCTACTGTGAAGCATGGGGGTGGAAACATCATGCTTTGGGGCTGTTTTTCTGCAAAGGGACCAGGACGACTGATCCATGTAAAGGAAAGAATGAATGGGGCCATGTATCGTGATATTTTGAGTGAAAACCTCCTTCCATCAGCAAGGCCATTGAAGATGAAACGTGGCTGGGTCTTTCAGCATGACAATGATCCCAAACACACCGCCCGGGCAACGAAGGAGTGGCTTCGTAAGAAGCATTTCAAGGTCCTGGAGTGGCCTAGCCAGTCTCCAGATCTCAACCCCATAGAAAATCTTTGGAGGGAGTTGAATGTCCGTGTTGCCCAGCGACAGCCCCAAAACATCACTGCTCTAGAGGAGATCTGCATGGAGGAATGGGCCAAAATACCAGCAACAGTGTGTGAAAACCTTGTGAAGACTTACAGAAAATGTTTGACCTGTGTCATTGCCAACAAAGGGTATATAACAAAGTATTGAGAAACTTTTGTTATTGACCAAATACTTATTTTCCACCATAATTTGCAAATAAATTCATTAAAAATCCTACAATGTGATCTTCTGAATTTTTTTTCTTCTTATTTTGTCTGTCATAGTTGACATGTACCTATGATGAAAATCACAGGCCTCTCTCATCTTTTTAAGTGGGAGAACTTGCACAATTGGTGGCTGACTAAATACTTTTTTTCCCCACTGTATGTGCGTGGGTGGGTGAGTGCGCGCGCCCTGCCTGTGTGTGTGTGTGAAAGTGCAGCTACTCTTAGTCACCACTCACCCACTCATGAAGCTGTTACCATGGTTTGTGTGGCTATAGCTTCACTGTCAAGAGACTGCTGTGGCCCTGTTGGAAGTGAGGTTGGAGCCAAATATGAATCACTGCTGGTAGACAGTGGGACAGTGCTTCATGGAGCTCCAGCTATGGGCTTTTCTCATTGTTCCCTCTAAACGTAATGCCTCAGATGGTAACCAAGCTGTGTTACTGTACAAGTGTGCTGCTGATTCCAAAAATTGTGCTATTATTTCAGTATTGATTGCAAAAAACAGTGATATTACTTTGACATGTTTATCAGGTATCTGATCTGTCCAATGTACTGTAGAAACAAAGCTAACTCAATGTACAGGAGTGTCAACATGCAACATCCCTGAGCTCAGGAAGATTGATATCAACATTGCCCTATCTTTCTACAAGTCGTGAAATAACTTCCCTATAATGTTGTTGCTTAGATAAGTTTGGTATTTTAGACCTTAGAGTTTGATGATTCCTTACCCTGACAGTAGTCTAGAGACTGTAATCCAAGGTTTAGAGTTTTTTAAACAACCACTACTAATCCAGCTAATTTAAGCCACCACGAACCAAAAATCAATGGGACAGATGGTGGCAAATGTGCAATGTAATAAATATTTGGCCAAATCACCTTTAAGTAACTTCAAACCAGGTAATTTAGTTGATTTCAGTTCATTTGGCCATGATATTTTGACATTGCACAGTTGCCTGTATCTGTACAAAGATGCAAAAAGTTTGCAAACCTTCTCAGGTGTTATTGACTTCACGCAGTGAAATGTACCACCTACTGTACACAAGTCAAGAATCTCATAAAGCTAATATGGACTAAAATAAACAAAATCAATTATCATTAACCTGTTCAACTCTGAGAGGTTGTTTTGTTGGAGGGGGGTTAGTAAATACAAAGTGACATATAATTTGAAAGCTACAGCCCTTGACTGTTTGTAAATCGAACTCAAATCTTACTGCTGACAATGTCATAAGAATACCCCCCCCCCCCCCCCCCCCCCCCCCCCCCCCCATAAAGGCCATAAATCATGCGCAATTGTCATATTCATAAAGTATGCATTGTAGGTCAAGTCATCAAAAGTGCAAACATGTAGTATGCATGGAAAGGGTACACCCTGAAGGTCATTGTAAAGCAATGCATTTCCTTCTCCATCCACATGACCTTGTATGCTTCCTCCACATGGGCCGTTGATCTATCCCACTCATTTACAATAGGAAAAGTGAATGGGAAAAGAAGGTAGAAATTTCCTCACCTGTCCGTGTCTTATTTAAAAAACTTGATAACTTGAAAGCCATGATTTCTAGGGTCATTTTAAGACGTCAGGCTTGAAAGTCCGTTCAGCCATTCTACCCAAACCAGACGCAACTGGCCAAGAGACGTCTTGTGATCTCCTAATGCTATCTAGTGGATGAATTTGGAATCAGACAGGGAATATATTTACATCAATGCATAGGTAGAGACTTCAGCTTTCTCCTCATATGTACAGTGCATTCGGAAAGTATTCAGACCCCTTGTATTTTTCCACATTTTGTTACGTGACAGCCTTATTTTAAAATGGATTAAATTGGTTTTTCCCTACACACAATACCCCATAATGACAAAGCAAAAACAGGTTTTTATAATATTTTGCAAATGTATTACAAATAAAAAACAGAAATCACATTTACATACGTTTTCAGACCCTTTACTCAGTACTTTGTTGAAGTACCTTTGGCATGATTACAGCCTTGAGTCTTCTTGGATATGACACTACAAGCTTGGCACACCTGTATTTGGGGAGTTTCTTCCATTCTTCTCTGCAGATCCTTTCAAACTCTGTCAGGTTGGATGGGGAGCATTGCTACACAGCTATTTTCCGTTCTTTCCATAGATTTCAGATGGGGTTCAAGTCCAGGCTCTGGCTGGGCCACTCAAGGACATTCAGAGACTTGTCCCAAAGCCACTCCTGCGTTGTCTTGGCTGTGTGCTTAGGGTTGTTGTCCTGTTGGAAGGTGAACCTTCGCCCCAGTCTGAGGTCCATGCGTCACCGTGGTAAGGGTGCCAGGTTTCCTCCAGACATGACGCTTGGCATTCAGGCCAAAGAGTTCAATCTTGCTTTCATCAGACCAGAGAATTTTGTTTCTCATGGTCTGAGAGTCCTTTAGGTGCCCTTTGGCAAACTCCAAGCGGGCTGTCATGTGCTTTTTACTGAGGACTGGCTTCTGTCTGGCCACTATACCATGAATGCCTGATTGGTGGAGTGCTGCAGAGATGGTTGTCCTTCTGGAAGGTTCTCCCATCTTCACAGAGGAACTCTGGAGCTCTGTCAGAGTGACCATTAGGGTTCTTGGTCACCTTCTCCCCTGATTGCTCAGTTTGGCCGGGCTGTCAGCTCTAGGAAAAGCCTTGGTGGTTCCAAACTTCTTCCATTTAAGAATGGAGGCCATTGTGTTCTTGGGGACCTTCAATGCTGCAGAAATGTTTTGGTACCATTCCCCAGATCTGTGCCTCGACACAATCCTGTCTCAGAGCTCTACGGACAATTCCTTAGACCTGATGGCTCGGATTTTGCTCTGACATGCACTGTCATCTGTGGGACGTTTATATAGACAGGTGTGTGCCTTTCCAAATCATGTCCAATCAATTGAATTTCCCACAGGTGGACTCCAATCAAGTTGTAGAAACATCTAAAGGATGATCAATGGAAACAGGATGCACCTGAGCTCAATTTCGAGTCTCATAGCAAAGGGTCTGAATACTTATGTCAATGTCATATTTCAGTTTTTTATTTGTAATAAATTTGCAAAGATTTCTAAACCTGTTTTCGCTTTGTCATTATGCGGTATTGTGTGTAGATTGATGAGGTACAAATGGAATTTTATCCATTTTATATTTAAAAAAATAATATGCCATTTAGCAGACGCTTTTATCCAAAGCGACTTACAGTCATGCGTGCATACATATTATTATTTTTTTTGTGTATGGGTGGTCCCGGGGATCGAACCCACTACCTTAGCGTTACAAGCGCCGTGCTCTACCAGCTGAGCTACAGAGGACCACCATTTTAGAATAAGGCTGTAACGTAACAAAATGTGGAAAAAGTCAAGGGGTCTGATTACTTTCCAAATGCACTTTAACCACTATGTTGCTTATAGTTCAATACTTTTTGCAGCCTAGTAATTCATTCAGTACATAACTGATAATTTTAAAAAACGTTCACATAATTAGGACGTCTAAAACCTCTCTGTAGTGCTCTGAAACTAACTCAGTGTTTTTGTTTTCTAACATGCCTTAAAGCGGTGCTCTCTCAAGGTAGGTTTACGAGGTGTCTATATGTCTGTAAGGATCTGTCTCTATGTTAAATGTATCCCCATAGACATACCATTGCCTGTTTCACTCAGAACATAATTTCAAATTAAGATCTCCAAAGATCTTCTAAGGCTTGGATGGGACACAGTTATGGATTGGAATGGGTATTTACAGTAAGAAACTGCTGGGGTCTGTTAGTGTGTACAGGATTTCCAAATGATAATTGAGTGAAGACACATGTAAACATATTCATATATACAGTGCTGTGAAAAAGTATTTGCCCCCTTTCTGTTTTTTGTCATCCAAAACCTAATATTAGATCAAGGGAACCTGAGTCATTAAATAACACAACATTTGGATACTTATTTCATTTATTTAAGTTATGCAACACCTAATGCCCCTGTGTGAAAAAGTAATTGCCCCCTTATACTCAGTAACTGGTTGTGCTGCAACCAAACGCTTCCTTTAGTTATTGATCAGTCTCTCACATCGCTGTGGACAAATTTTGACCCATTCTTCCATGCAGTACTGCTTTAACTCAGCAACATTTGTGGTTTTTCCAGCATGAACTGCTCATTTCAGGCCCTGTCACAAGATCTTAATAAGGTTTTGGTCTGGACTTTGAGTAGGCCATTCCAAAACATGAAATGCTTTTCAGACATTCTGATGTAGACTTGCCTGTGTGTTTGGATCAGTGGGGAAAACCAAACACTGCATTCCACAGTAAGAGCCTCATACCAACAGTCAAACATGGTGGTGGTAGTGTGATGCTTTGGGGATGCTTTCCTGCCTCAGGACCTGGATGACTTGCCATCATTGAAGGAACCATGAATTCTGCTCAGTATCAGAGAATTCTAAAGGAGAATGTCATGCCATCCGTCTGTGAGCTGAAGCTGAAGCGCAGCTGGGTCATGCAGCAAGACAATGATCCAAAACATACAAGCAAGTCTACATCAGAATGGCTGAAAAGCAACACATTTTAAGTTTTAGAATGGCGTTGTAGCAGGACCTGAAACAAGCAGTTCATGATCGAAAACCCTCAAATGTCGCTGAGTTAAAGCAGTTCTGCATGGAAGAGTGGGCCAAAATTCCTCCAAAGTGATGTAAGAGACTGATCAACAACTACAGGAAGCATTGTACCTAAAGGTGGTTATTGAGTGTAAGGGAGCAAAAATAGAGAAAATTAGAAATGGGGCAAATACTTTTTCACGGCACTGTACACAAATAACAAATATAGACACAAATAAAATGCATAATTGCTTAGATTGTAATCTCTTGTGGACAGATACAGTGAGGGAAAAAAGTATTTGATCCCCTGCTGATTTTGTACGTTTGCCCACTGACAAAGAAATTATCAATCTATAATTTTAATGGTAGGTTTATTTGAACAGTGAGAGACAGATTAACAACAACAAAATCCAGAAAAACGCATGTCAAAAATGTTATAAATTGATTTGCATTTTAATGAGGGAAATAAGTATTTGACCCCCTCTCAATCAGAAAGATTTCTGGCTCCCAGGTGTCTTTTATACAGGTAACGAGCTGAGATTAGAAGCACACTCTTAAAGGGAGTGCTCCAAATCTCAGTTTGTTACCTGTATAAAAGACACCTGTCCACAGAAGCAATCAATCAATCAGATTCCAAACTCTCCACCATGGCCAAGACCAAAGAGCTCTCCAAGGATGTCAGGGACAAGATTGTAGACCTACACAAGGCTGGAATGGGTTACAAGACCATCGCCAATCAGCTTGGTGAGAAGGTGACAACAGTTGGTGCGATTATTCGCAAATGGAAGAAACACAAAAGAACTGTCAATCTCCCTCGGCCTGGGGCTCCATGCAAGATCTCACCTCGTGGAGTTGCAATGATCATGAGAACGGTGAGGAATCAGCCCAGATCTACACAGGAGGATCTTGTCAATGATCTCAAGGCAGCTGGGACCATAGTCACCAAGAAAACAATTGGTAACACACTACGCCGTGAAGGACTGAAATCCTGCAGCGCCCGCAAGGTCCCCCTGCTCAAGAAAGCACATATACAGGGCCGTCTGAAGTTTGCCAATGAACATCTGAATTATTCAGAGGAGAACTGGGTGAAAGTGTTGTGGTCAGATGAGACCAAAATCGAGCTCTTTGGCATCAGCTCAACTCGCCGTGTTTGGAGGAGGAGGAATGCTGCCTATGACCCCAAGAATACCATCCCCACCGTCAAACATGGAGGTGGAAACGTTATGCTTTGGGGGTGTTTTTCTGCTAAGGGGACAGGACAACTTTGCCGCATCAAAGGGACGATGGACGGGGCCTTGTACCGTCAAATCTTGGGTGAGAACCTCCTTCCCTCAGCCAGGGCATTGAAAATGGGTTGTGGATGGGTATTCCAGCATGACAATGACCCAAAACACACGGCCAAGGCAACAAAGGAGTGGCTCAAGAAGAGGCACATTAAGGTCCTGGAGTGGCCTAGCCAGTCTCCAGACCTTAATCCCATAGAAAATCTGTGGAGGGAGCTGAAGGTTCGAGTTGCCAAATGTCAGCCTCGATACCCTGCAAAGAGGAGTGGAACAAAATCCCTCCTGAGATGTGTGCAAACTTGGTGGCCAACTACAAGAATCGTCTGACCTCTGTGATTGCCAACAAAGGTTTTGCCACCAAGTACTAAGTCATGTTTTGCAGAGGGGTCAAATACTTATTTCCCTCATTAAAATGCAAATCAATTGATAACATTTTTGACATGCGTTTTTCTGGATTTTGTTGTTGTTATTCTGTCTCTCACTGTTCAAATAAACATACCATTAAAATTATAGACTGATCATGTCTTTGTCAGTGGGCAAACGTACAAAATCAGCAGGGGATCAAATACTTTTTTCCCTCACTGTATACGTAAATATAACTGGTACCCTAGAATCTGTCTGGAAAGAATGCGAAAATGAGCAGCAGTAGTTCCAGTGTTTGTGTTTTTCGCCAATGGTTATTTGGACATATCACGATTTCACAGTTGTTAGCATCTTTCGAATTTCGGAAGGGGAGGGGACATTCGGCCCGTAACTTGCAAAGAGAGAGAGTGGAGCTCCTCGTTCTAGCATCTCTTCATCTCTTCTCTTAACATGTATGGACCCAGAACTTATTCGAGCAGCTGATCAATTACCTGAGATTCTAGTTCAGGGTTAACCAAGAATATTAAGATTGCAACGTATACTGTTAGGCATACAAAATGTTACCGTTAAGTTTTATTTGTTTACTTTGAGTCCTGTGGTGTTATGGATACAGTCTTCAACTGTCTGCTGAAACAGCATCTAGATCTTGTTCTGTCAGTGTACAGTGTGTCTCAGTGCTCATACTATGTGTTTGTGGGTTATGTGCATGCAAAACTAACCCTTTTGTCTTTTTCTTTTGTTCTTGTTGTTGTTTATGGTTGATGTTTCCATCATTTTGTCATTGTAAACATTCAATGTGGATTGAGGTGTTGTATTACATGACACTAACCAATACTCTTGACTTCCCCCAGAAAATACAATAATTATGTTATTTTTTTGTTATAGTTTCGTGAGGAATCATCCGGATGTTGTTATGCGTGTTAACACAAAATGTGCCTTGTTAGTGTTCTGTGGATCTACGCAGGGTTTACAGTCCCACTTGTTGGTGTGTGAACCTTTAACCCATGTCTGAACCTCCTCTCTGTGTACAGGCCAGACAGCAGGCCCAGTTGAAACACCAAGTGGCAGAGGACAGCAAGAATGAATACCTCACCTACCTGCAGAAGTTTAACAAGGAGCAGAATGAACATTATTATAGCCTTATACCTCACATATTTCAGGTATTTAACCTCACTCACAGTACTAATTGATAGGTTTATATACAGTTCCTTCAAAAAGTATTCACACCCCTTTACTTTTTCCACATTTTGTTGTGTTACAGCCTGAATTTAAAATTGATTACATTTAGATTTTGTGTCACTGATCTACACACAATACCCCATAATGTCAAAGTAGAATTTTGTTTCTAGAACATTTTCGAAATTCATAAAGAAATGTAATGCTGAAATGTCTTGAGTCAATAAGTATTCAACCCCTTTGTTATGGCAAGCCTAAATAAGTTCAGGAGTAAAATGTGCTTAACAAATCGCATAATAAGTTGCATGGACTCATTCCGTGTTCAATAATAGTGGTTAACATGATTTTTGAATGACTACCCCATCTCTGTACCCCACACATACAATTATCTGTAAGGTCCCTCAATCGAGTAGTGAAATTCAAGCACAGATTCAACCACAAAGACCAGGGTGTTTTTTTAATGCATCGCAAAGAAGGGCGGCGATTGGTAGATCCAAACTCAGTTTTGCCAGAGAGAAAGGAAACTGCTCAGGGATTTCACCATGAGGACAATGGTGATTTTAAAACAGTTACAGAGTTTAATGGTTGTGATATGAGAACTGAGGATGGATCAACAACATTTTAGTTACTCCACAATACTAACCTACATGACAGAGTGAAAAGAAGGAACCCTGTACAGAATAAAAGTATTCCAAAACATGCATCCTTTTTGCAACAAGGCACTTAAGTAATACTGCAAAAAATGTCCCTTTTTGTCCCTCATACGAAGTGTTATGTTTGGGCAAAACCAACACAACAAATCATTGCCTACCACTCTTCATATTTTCAAGCATGGTGGGGCTGCATCATGTTATGGGTATGCTTGTCATCAGCATGGACTAGGGAGTTTTTTAGGATAAAAATAAACTGAATACAGCTATAAGCACAGGCAAAATCGTTGAGGAAAACCTGGTCCAGTCTGCTTTCTAAAAGACACTGGCCAAATCTATACTGGAGGTGCATACCAAGACAACATTGAATGATCCTGAGTGGCCTAGTTACAGTTTTGACATAAATTGTCTTAACATTTTTCCAGTACGTCCAACTGACCTCACAACCGCAGACCACGTGTATGGCATTGTGTGGGTGAGCGGTTTGCTGATGTCAATGTTGTGAACAGAGTGCCCCATGGTGGCGGTGGGGTTATGGTATGGGCAAGCATATACTACGGACAACGAACACAATTGCATTTTATCGATGGCAATTTGAATGCACAGAGATACCGTGATGAGGCCCATTTTGTTAAGGTATCTGTGACCAACAGATGTATATCTGTATTCCCAATCATGTCGAATCCATAGATTAGGGCCTCATTTATTTATTTAAATTGACTAATTTCCTTATATGAACTGTAACTCAGTAAAATCTTTGAAATTGTTGCATGTTGCATTTAGTTTTTTGTTCAGTATAGTACAATCCAGGTGTGCAAAGCTCTTATAGACTTACCCAGAAAGACTCACAGCTGTAATCGCAGCCAAAGGTGATTCAAACATGTATTGACTCAGGGGTGTGAATATGTAAATGCCATAAAGTACCAGTCAAAAGTTTGGACACACCTACTCATTCAAGGGTTTTTATGTATTTTTACTATTTTCTACATTTTAGAATAATAGTGAAGACATCAACACTATGAAATAACACATATGGAATCATGTAGTAACAAAAAAAGTGTTAAACAAATAAAAATATATTTTATATTTTAGATTCTTCAAAGTAGCCACCCTTTGCCTTGTTGACAGCTTTGCACACTCTTGGCATTCTCTCAACCAGCTTCAAGAGGTAGTCACCTGGAATGCTTTTCCAACAGTCTTGAAGGAGTTCCCACATATGCTGAGCACTTGTTGGCTGCTTTTCCTTAACTCTGTGGTCCAACTCATCCCAAACCATCTCAATTTGGTTCAGGTCGGGGGATTGTGGAGGCCAGGTCATCTGATGCAGCACTCCATCACTCTCCTTCTTGGTCAAATAGCCCTTACACAGCCTGGAGGTGTGTTTTGGGTCATTGTCCTGTTGAAAAACAAATGATAGTCCCACTAAGCGCAAACCAGATGGGATGGCGTATCGCTGCAGAATGCTGTGGTAGCCATGCTGGGGTTAAGTGTGCCTTGAATTCGAAATAAATCACTGACAGTGTCACCATCACACCTCTTCCTCCATGCTTCACGGTGGGAACCACACATGCGGAGATCATCCATTCACCTACTCTGCGTCTCCCAAAGACACGGCTGTTGGAACCAAAAATCTCAAATTTGGACTCATCAGACCAAAGGACAGATTTCCATCGGTCTAATGTCCATTGCTCGTGTTTCTTGGCCAAAGCAAGTCTCTTCTTCTTATTGGTGTCCTTTAGTAGTGGTTTCTTTGCAGCAATTCGACCATGAAGGCCTGATTCACGCAGTCTCCTCTGAACAGTTGATGTTGAGATGTGTCTGTTACTTGAACTCTGTGAAGCATTTATTTGGGCTGCAATCTGAAGTGCAGTTAATTGCCGATTTCTGAGGGTGGTAACACTAATGAACTTATCCTCTACAGCAGAGATAACTCTGGGTCTTCCTTTCCTGTGGCGGTCCTCATGAGTGCCAGTTTCATCATAGCGCTTGATGTTTTTTGCGACTGCACTTGAAGAAACTTTGAAAGTTCTTGAAATGTTCCAGATTGACTGACCTTCATGTCTTAAAGTCATGATGGACTGTCGTTTCTCTTTGCTTATTTCAGCTTTTCTTGACATAATATGGACTTGGTCTTTTACCAAATAGGGCTATCTTCTGAGTACCACCCCTACCTTGTCACAACACAACTGATTGGCTCAAACGCTTTAAGAAGGAAAGAAATTCCACAAATTAAATTTTAACAAGGCACACCTGTTAATTGAAATGCATTCCAGGTGACTACCTCATGAAGCTGGTTGAAAGAATGCCAAGAGTGTGCAAAGCTGTCATCAAGGCAAAGTGTGGCTACTTCGAAGAATCTCAACTATAAAATATGTTTTGATTTGTTTAACACTTTCTTGGTTACTACATGAATCCATATGTGTTATTTCATAGTTTTGATGTCTTCACTATTATTCTACAATGTAGAAAATAGTACAAATAAAGAAAAACCCTGGAATGAGTTGGTGTGTCCAAACGTTTGACTGGTACTGTATTTCTGTATTTCATTTTTAGGAAATTTGAAAAAAATTCTAAAAACATGTTTGCACTTTGTCATTATGGGGTATTGTGTGTAGATTGGTGAGAAAAAAATATATTTAATGCATTTTGAAATCAGGCTGTAACACAACAAAATGTGGAAAAAGTCAAGGGGTATGAATACTTTCTGAATGCACTGTAGTCATAGCACTTGCAGGCACTCAAAGTGCTTCAGGGAGAAAACTTTATTCACCAGTACCCACCCTATTTACAATATAACTGATGTGTGTGTGATTAGCAACTCATAATCCTATTTGAAGGTACAGTAATTGTCAGAGTGTTGAGTGTGGATGTAGTGCAGGAATCAAGCGCAGGGACAAGGAGGTTCTTCAACGGACTTTAGTATATATATGTATCCCAACACGGGAAATGAGTCGCCAACCCAACCGGGCGGCACGAACAATTACGCACAACACACAGTGCGGAAAAACAAGAAAAGGCGCACGCAGTGCGAACTCTCGAAAATACTAAATAAACGAGAGAGAGAACTACTCGGAGGCAAACTGACAATAACAATCACGCATAACACCTGCCCCAAACAAACCAACTAAATAAGGAGAATAATCAAGACACAAATAAGGGACAGGTGTTATGCACAGACAAAACCAAAAGAACAAAAAACATCGAACGGTGGCAGCTAGTACTCCGGAGACGACGACCGCCGAAGTCCGCCCGAACAAGGAAGAGGAGCAGCCTCGGCCGAAACCGTGACAGTAATCAAACAATGTTTTCTTTGTTTCAGAAAATACAGGAGATGGAGGAGAAAAGGATCGAGAAAGTGGCAGAGTCTATGAAGACTTACGCAGAGGTCAATCGGAAAGTGTTACCTATTGTTAGCAAATGTTTAGATGGCATGACCAATGCAGCAGCATCCATCGAGCCAACAATGGTGAGTAGGCCTAGTGCATGTGCGTAACATGGTTCTTGTTATGTACAGTCATTTTACATAGTGACAAACTGTGTTGAACGTGCACAGAAAAACCTGCTATTCATTTTTGTGACATTTGACTGGAATTCAATACAAAAGTGTGGAGAGAATGTGATTGCGGTCGTCCATTGTTCTATTCGCTTAAGCAGTAAAGGGTTAGGAGCCCATAGGAGGACATAAATTATTCACACCTTTTATTAATGGCTGTCCAACTTTAATGAGATGTAATTGTTGCTAGGGAAAGTCGCACACAGGTGTCGTTGGGTGTTTTCACTGATAGTGACAGCGGACTCACCGATAGTGACAGTTTTATCCTATAACTCGAAGGAATCAAGATGTTGGGCATTCATTGACATATGCCTTACTGATGTTAAAAATAAATGCAGTAGCATGGACTGTATAAAGCATCTTCAGACTAAGAGTGTTGACCTACAATCAGCTCCCCTGTTCATTCATTATAACTCAGCTAAAACTGATCATAGATCAGCACTCCTACTCTGAGACGCTTTCTGTGGTGGGTTTCAAGAGCCATGCCTTTGCTATAATTGTGTCTTCCTACGCTTGAAAAGGGAGTTTAGGGCAATTCCACGTCAGTGGGAGCAGAACATTTTTTGGTATCTGAAATAGTTCTGGCAAAGGAAGTTTGACATGCTTTTTACATATGTATCACAAACCATTTTGGGGAAAATCATGATGAAAGTGGCAATTTTAGGCCCTTTTTAGACCTAAACATGCCTCCTGTAAGACCTTATGGTCCGTGAACCGTACATGATATATGCTCTAACATATGGAGAGAGCAGCTCGAACATATGGAGAGAGCATGTATGTCTAGATTCTGAAAATACACATTTTAACATACATGTATTAAACATAAAAATATTAATAGGAATATCTCAAAACTACACATTTTGATTTTGCTTATTTTTAGACATATTATTACTCTTCAAAACAGATCACAGCCCTCCTTTAGGATTGCACATTGAGCAAATCAACAGCAGAAGGAGTTCCTTTTCAAATCAATTTTCCCATTCACTGTGTTGGTGGTGCTCATAAAATTTATCCTAACTTCAGAAGTAGCAGAGAGCCCACTCTGGAAATGTGATGTACTTGTAAAGGATATTGTTACAAACAATATGTCTTAAAAAAAGGGTAGTTTTTAGAGATTTATATTAGTATTTTTAATGTAGAATAAATGAATGTGAACATTTGTATTTCAGAACCTAGACATACAGTGGGGAAAAAAGTATTTAGTCAGCCACCAATTGTGCAAGTTCTCCCACTTAAAAAGATGAGAGAGGCCTGCAATTTTCATCATAGGTACACGTCAACTATGACAGACAAATTGAGAAAAACAAATCCAGAAAATCACATTGTAGGATTTTTAATGAATTTATTTGCAAATTATGGTGGAAAATAAGTATTTGGTCACCTATAAACAAGCAATATTTCTTGCTCTCACAGACCTGTAACTTCTTCTTTAAGAGGCTCCTCTGTCCTCCACTCGTTACCTGTATTAATGGCACCTGTTTGAACTTGTTATCAGTATAAAAGACACCTGTCCACAACCTCAAACAGTCACTTTCCAAACTCCACTATGGCCAAGACCAAAGAGCTGTCAAAGGACACCAGAAACAAAATTGTAGACCTGCACCAGGCTGGGAAGACTGAATCTGCAATAGGTAAGCAGCTTGGTTTGAAGAAATCAACTGTGGGAGCAATTATTAGGAAATGGAAGACATACAAGACCACTGATAATCTCCCTCGATCTGGGGCTCCACGCAAGATCTCACCCCGTGGGGTCAAAATGATCACAAGAACGGTGAGCAAAAATCCCAGAACCACACGGGGGGACCTAGTGAATGACCTGCAGAGAGCTGGGACCAAAGTAACAAAGCCTACCATCAGTAACACACTACGCCGCCAGGGACTCAAATCCTGCAGTGCCAGACATGTCCCCCTGCTTAAGCCAGTACATGTCCAGGCCCGTCTGAAGTTTGCTAGAGTGCATTTGGATGATCCAGAAGAGGATTGGGAGAATGTCATATGGTCAGATGAAACCAAAATATAACTTTTTGGTAAAAACTCAACTCGTCGTGTTTGGAGGACAAAGAATGCTGAGTTGCATCCAAAGAACACCATACCTACTGTGAAGCATGGGGGTGGAAACATCATGCTTTGGGGCTGTTTTTCTGCAAAGGGACCAGGATGACTGATCCGTGTAAAGGAAAGAATGAATGGGGCCATGTATCGTGAGATTTTGAGTGAAAACCTCCTTCCATCAGCAAGGGCATTGAAGATGAAACGTGGCTGGGTCTTTCAGCATGACAATGATCCCAAACACACCGCCCTGGCAACGAAGGAGTGGCTTCGTAAGAAGCATTTCATGGTCCTGGAGTGGCCTAGCCAGTCTCCAGATCTCAACACCATAGAACATCTTTGGAGGGAGTTGAAAGTCTGTGTTGCCCAGCGACAGCCCCAAAACATCACTGCTCTAGAGGAGATCTGCATGGAGGAATGGGCCAAAATACCAGCAACAGTGTGTGAAAACCTTGTGAAGACTTACAGAAAACGTTTGACCTGTGTCATTGCCAACAAAGGGTATATAACAAAGTATTGAGAAACTTTTGTTATTGACCAAATACTTATTTTCCACCATAATTTGCAAATAACTTCATTAAAAGTCCTACAATGTGATTTTCTGAATTTTTTTTCCTCATTTTGTCTGTCATAGTTGACGTGTACCTATGATGAAAATTAAACTATACTTTTTTTCCCCACTGTACTTGTTAAGAGCACACTAAAAGGAGTATAATGACACCAATATGTTGTCTGTATCATGTACTGTTCACGGACCATAAGGTCTTACAGGAGGCATGTTTAGGTCTAAAAAGGGCCTAAAATGGCCACTTTCATCATAATTTTGGTTTGTGATGCAAATGTAAAACGTATTTCAAATCTCCTTCCTCCCAATGAAGTTTCTATGTGAGAATTGCCAGAACAATCTGAGATACCAAAAATATTTCACACTCCCGCTGGCGTGGAATCACCTTTTTACGTGCCGTTGTTTTGACGTTGGCTTCCGAGAGGAATACTTGCACTTTAAAGTGCAAATGATTTTCTGCTATTTGGTTCAGTTTGGTGCCTTCAAGCTGAAATACATTTGGTGAATATTCATAATATTCCAAATATTATATACGAATGAAATCACTTCCCCCAACAGGACACCAAGCAGGTGGTGGAATCCTACAAGTCTGGCTTCGAACCACCTGGCGACGTAGAAGTTGAGGACTATAGTCTGTCTATGAGGCGGACCGTGTCAGAGTCCAGCTATCTGAACTCGCGGGGGGAGGGCAAGCCCAGCCGCAGCAACAGCAGGGGCAAACTATGGCCTTTCATCAAGAGAAACAAGGTAAGGACAACACCTTCAGTCCACAAGACTGCCCTCTACCTACAGTACTGTAATAGTCAGGGCTGAGTTCGGCAGGGCACCGCGTTGTGGAAGGTTCAGACAGAAATATATGTTGTAGATAGAACACACGTCTCTCTGACATGAAGAATAAGGAATCCTCTCCGCTCTCTTCATTACATTTCTATCTGAAATGTTCCACAATGTGAACTGAATGGGGCCCAGGTGTCTGCCTAAATTGGAGAGTGAACATCTTTGTAATATGAAATAAATGCTTATTTGGAAGCACAATTTATCTAAAAGCTCAACTCGTGCTGGACCCAGTGTTCTCTCATCGTCATACAATAACATGCTCATACTTTGTACATGCTCTCTTAATCGCTGCTGTCTTAAGTGTTAGTAACCAGATTCTTTCTGTCCTTCCATCGTTTCATTATTATTTTGGATTTTTTTACATTTTGGGTGTTCATTTTCCTAATTTCTTTATTGTTTTGTTCCATACCGCTCCATGACCCTTACCCGTAGCTCATGTCTTTGTTAGCTTCCCCACGCCAACCACCCCCTCCCCCCCCTACCTCCCCATCACCCGGTGCCGTGCCAAACGGCCCCCAGTCTCCCCAGCAGCCCAAGGAGCCCCTCTCCCACCGCCTCAATGAGTTCATGACCTCCAAACATAAAATGCAATGTTTAAGGAGTCTGAAGCGCGGGGTAAGTTGATTTTGTATGGGCAGATTGACTCTGTGCTTAAGACATTGATATGGTGACTATGGCCTACTGATAGTGGCTCCTACTATTGCACATTCCCTTTGAATGGGATCCCTCTGGGCCTATTACATACAGACAATCATTTGGAAATTGTGTGTATTCTGGCACTGTGTTCTTTTCCAATCTACGATTGGTGTGTGTGTCATGTTCATTGTTTAACATTTGTTCATACTGTCAGTGGAGAAAATATAATGCTGCCAATGATGAACAAACTGTTCAGACTGACATGGCCCTTCATTGCGAGTTGTGCTTGTACAGTTTCATACTTCCGTCTCAAAGTTTTGAACATATGTTGACATTGTGTCTTTTTCGTCCCATTGTCTCCCCTCACTTGGAAAGCTTTCTCTCAAGCTGGTAAGCACGACTGTTTTCACAACTCTTCAGATGGTTGATTACTATATTGTTTTGTAGTGCACACGTTACAGGTACAATCACTATAGAGGAATATTGCTAAAGTGTGTACTTTCAACTGAACACGCTCATCTCAGATCTCATTGTTGCTGATAACAATATGAAGTCAATATAAAGACATTATAAAAACATATATAAAACAAAATAAAGTCACTGCTCCATGGTGTTAGGCTTTTAATAGGAGTATGTATGTCTGGGTGTTTGTTTTTTTGTTTGTTTTCCCATAGGGTTCTGGCCCTGAAGATTGTAGTCACCTGCCTCCTGAACAGAGGAGGAAGAAGCTCCAGGCCAAAATCAATGACATCAACAAGGAGCTTCAAAAAGAGATGGATCAGAGGTAGAGTAAATGTGTGAAAGTCAAATTGTGTATCTATATGAGAAGTTTTAAACTATCTCTGGTCTATTTACAAACGGAACAGTTCTTTAGTATGAATGCGTGTTCATTCTGAATGTGACATGCTGTCCATTTTGTATTGTAGCGATGCTCTGACTAAAATGAAGGACGTGTACATAAAGAACCCACACATGGGGGACCCCAACAGTGTGGACCCACGATTAGAGGAGATCAGGCAAAATATTGACAAGTTAGAACTGGATTCAAGGAAATATGAAGTAAGTTGAAATGTTACACAGGATTCATGTCAATGCTTGTTAGATATTTAATGTTTGCCAGAGTATGGTCTAGTGGTAGTGCTGCCGACTCCAGGCTCCGGACTAAAATCTGGGTTTGAATCCCGTGTCTGACACTTTCACCGCTATCTTTCCCCTCATCGATCGGCCTCTATCATTCCCAATCTCTATCAAATATATTCCACTCTCCTTTGAAAAAAGAGACATGTAGCTAGTTCATGTATCACCATGTACATTTCAGGTATTGTTGAGTCGAAACCTTTTGATGTCTGTCCACAGGCCTGGCTGCTAGAGGTGGAGACCAGGTTAGCAGAAAAGTGTGACCCACACAGACGACAAAGTGGATTGTACGACTCCAATGCTACTACACCCGTCAACAACAACTGTGCACCTGTCAACCGAGAGAGGTAGAACAAATGTGCACATTACTATAGCTCAGAATCAGTGGACAAGCTGACAGAAAAACAGAAAAACCACAACCACACCTCGCACTAGCTATGTACCATGTGTTTTGACTGAAACTTGTTTGGGGGCTTATTGTACATTATTATTCTCTAAATATAACTAACGAGGACTGTCTATTGACTCAATGTATGCTTTTTAACACAGCTTTAAATGTATGGGTTTATGGATTTGACACACGTCTCACCATGGCCAAATGGGCAACCTTGGATTATATGATATTTGGGTTTGTTGGTCTTTAACTGTTTGTCTTTTTTTTGTGGTTAGCCCGGACGGCAGCTACACAGAGGATCATAGCACAGAGCATCACCTCAAATCTCGGAGCACCGACTTTGATGATGACTTTGATGAAGAGGACCCACTCCCCACTATCGGAACCTGTAAATCGCTCTACCCTTTCGAAGGTACGCCAATGCCCCCTCTGAAAATACGTGTTGTTGTTAGATTGGGGTTTGTTGTACTTTTCAGAACATATGTCTCACCTGGTTCAAATAACAGGAAAGGGGCTTCTTCCATCATGGACAGTTGGGTTAAAACATTTCCCTGCAGGTAAAAATAAAGTGCTGCAAAGAGGATATGACTCATCGAGGCATATTCAGAAATTTCAACTATGTATGCCATTACATAGTTTATTGTTAGATGATTACAAATTAACTTGGTGCTTCGCATCACCCTGCTAGAGAGTTTGTCACATTAACTATCTACTGTTGGTGCAGCATAGGCTTTTTGTGAATGTAGCATTTTAACACACTCAACTGAAAATAACAATGACTTGACGTTTTTCTTTCCTGTCTCCTCAGGTCAGAACGAAGGCACCATTTCCATGGCCGAGGGGGAGCTGCTGTATGTCATAGAGGAGGATAAGGGTGACGGGTGGACGCGGGTGCGTAGGAACGAGGATGAAGAGGGATACGTACCCACATCTTACATCAAGGTCTTTTTCGACACAAATGCCAAAGGTGCTATGACATACATATAATTGTCATTTTATGAGAGGGGCAATGGGTGGACAAACATAAACAATCTCTTGACATTTTAAACGCCCTGAAGTTTCCGAAATATCCAAGAATCATTTGTGAGACGGAACTTGCAGAACAACGGACTGTATTTACATTTGTACTTGTGCTTTTTACTTTCTACCATCTCGCACCCGTTCAAACTAATTTTGGAGAAGTCTTTGTTTGTGTGTATGAACAGGTGTGGGTGTGTTAAGTTGTCAGAACCAACTCGACACCACTGTCGATATCAGCTACACCTTGCTTCTAGCGCTAATAGTAATAACCAATGTCAATATCTTGATTTATTTGACCAACAAATATAGATATGTACAGTACGGTTTCTCATATTAGTGAGCATTGCATCTAAACATATCGATTCCTATTTGGAATAGCTATTATTGCATGCCTAAAGACAGACTCATGTTATGCAAGTTATGCTCTTCCAGCCTCCACTGCGTTGCATGCACAGTACATAGTATATCTGCGCTTGAGCAGCAACCATCATTGCCAGGGGGTTACTGTAAGCTTGCGAAGTTACTGTAAGCTTGCGAAGTTACTGTAAGCTTGCGAAGTTACTGTAAGCTTGCGAAGTTACTGTAAGCTTGCGAAGTTACTGTAAGCTTGCGAAGTTACTGTAAGCTTGCGAAGTTACTGTAAGCTTGCGAAGTTACTGTAAGCTTGCGAAGTTACTGTAAGCTTGCGAAGTTACTGTAAGCTTGCGAAGTTACTGTAAGCTTGCGAAGCAGAGAGGCGAACTAAATCAGTTGTTGCATGTGGACATGTTTCAAAGTATCAAAGAGAGGACATGCCTTTTTACACAGTAAAGCAAAAAAGCAATGTGATATTTAGAAAAGGACACTGCTTGCATGTTATCTTGATTAGGAATAGTACGACAGATTAGTAGTTTATTCTCTTATACAAGTTGTTGACCCTCCTCCAAAATCTGACAAAGGGGCTTCATTGAAGCCCCTAAACTACTCAATGTCGTGCTAAGTTTACAGTGGTGTTCTCGACAGATAAACGTTCATTTCATTCTGAGACGCATGGTAATGCAACCACCACCATTCCATCATTGGCATGATATTCATTTATTGTTTTATAATGAACAATATATCCCTGCTTTGCTTTTTTATTTGATACTGAGTTGTTCTGAATGCTTGAACCAATTGATAAGACAAAGTCAAATCAGATGAACATAGTATTGTAACCAGGTGATATTTCTCTGTTTTTAAAATTATTAACACGTAGCCTCGAGCTTTCTGTTTTGATTTGCCATCGACAGTCAGAAACATGCTCTCAAGCAGCATAGACTCGACTGTATGCAAACGTAATCTGCCAGGATGATTGTCAGAATGTGAAGGAATGTCATGGAATTACTTTCCCTTGTCTTAATGCATCACCACTAACATGTCTTGTGTGATTTTTGTTTGTTTGTTTGCTTTTTTGTTTGCTTTTTTTCTTATTACAGATTCCTAAAAGTCTTTGGCTCGCACAGGGATGGCAGGGCACAGGTCCTTGCGAAAAGCGCCCTCCTCTTAAAACTGTAGTCAGAGAGACGACAGACTAAAAGGACAAGTTGCAAGGCAGTCCAATTTGCGACCCAGTACAGAAATCCATTGTGGGTTTCTATTGAATGGAGCAAAAACAACACACATTGCGGGGCAACCACCATTTGTAGTCATTTTCCTCTTGATTGTTTCTGCAAGCTTGCTTCTTGTTTTTCTAACTGGAGATGAGTATCATGTTGTGGCTGCTAGGTGTTCTACTGTACCTTGCCCCCAGGGGCGGTACCTGTTTAAGGGGAGAGGAGTCTGAGACAGCCTTGTTACACTTTGGTGACTATTCTAAACCTGCATTCTATCTATCATCATGACAAACACTACACCGTAGGAAAATACTTATGGAAAGTACCGCTACACTTTGGCTGAAATTCCATTGGTTAATTCCCATGGTGAAGAAAAAAAAGCGATTGTGTCTGCGTCACGAAAAAGCAAGTTTACAGTAATGGCAGTCAGACAAAACAGAAGAAAACAAAGCTCATAATAATGAGACTTTTTTCTTGGCACTGGAGCAATGTTGCTGCTTGTTCAGTTGGATTCAATTCCAGCCCTTATTCAACACAGTAATGCCTCATGATTACTGTACACACCCATGTATGTATTTTGGGGTATATACAGTGCCTTCAGAAAGTATTCAGACCCCTTGACTTTTTCCACATTTTGTTACGTTACAGCCTTATTCTAAAATTGATTAAATCGTTTTTTTCCCCCTCACCAATCTACACACAATACCCCATAATGACAAAGCAAAAACAGGTTTTTCAAATGTTTTGCTAATTTATAAAATAAACAAAACTGAAATATCACATTTACTAAGTATTCAGACCCTTTACTCAAATCAAATCAAATCAAATTGTATTTGTCACATGCGCCGAATACAACAGGTGTAGACCATACAGTGAAATGCTTACTTACAAGCCCTTAACCAACAATGCAGTTTTAAGAAGTGTTGTGTTGTCTCTCTTGTTGTGATGTGTATTTGGTCCTATATTTATTTATAAATATATATAGGTATATATTTATTTTAAATCCTAGCCCCCGTCCCCGCAGGAGGCCTTTTGCCTTTTGGTAGGCCGTCATTGTAAATAAGAATTTGTTCTTAACTGACTTGCCTAGTTAAATAAAGGATAAATAATAATTATTTTATTTAAATAAGAAAGAATACCCAAAACAATTATCACACAAAAGATACAATATAAAATAATAACAAATAGTAATTAAACAGCAGCAGTAAAAATAACAATAGCGAGGCTATATACAGGGGGTACCGGTACCGAGTCAATGTGCGGGGGCACCGGTTAGTCGAGGTAATTGAGGTAATATTTACAGTTGAAGTCGGAGGTTTACATACACATTAGCCAAATACATTTAAACTCAGTTTTTCACAATTCCTGACATTTAATTCTAGTAAAAATTCCCTGTCTTAGGTCAGTTAGGATCACCACTTTATTTATGTCAGAATAATAGTAGAGAGAATGATTTATTTCAGCTTTTATTTCTTTCATCACATTCCCAGTGGGTCAGAAGTTTACATACACTCAATTAGTATTTGGTAGCATTGCCTTTAAATTGTTTAACTTGGGTCAAACGTTTCGGGTAACCTTCCACAAGCTTCCCACAATAAGTTGTGTGAATTTTGGCCCATTCCTCCTGACAGAGCTGGTGTAACTGAGTCAGGTTTGTTGGTCTCCTTGCTCGCACACGCTTTTTCAGTTCTGCCACAAATGTTCTATAGAATTGAGGTCAGAGCTTTGTGATGGCCACTCCAATACCTTAACTTTGTTGTCCTTAAGCCATTTTGCCACAACTTTGGAAGTATGCTTGGGGTCATTGTCCATTTGGAAGACCCATTTGCGACCAAGCTTTAACTTCCTGACTCATGTCTTGAGATGTTGCTTCAATATATCCACATAATTTTCCTTCCTCGTGATGCCATCTATTTTGTGAAGTGCACCAGTCCCTCCTGCAGCAAAGCACCCACACAGCATGATGCTGCCACCCCCGTGCTTCACGGTTGGGATGGTGTTCTTCGGCTTGCAATCCACCCCCTTTTTCCTCCAAACATAACAACGATCATTATGGCCAAACAGTTCTATTTTTGTTTCATCAGACCAGAGGACATTTCTCCAAAAAGTACGATCTTTGTCCCCATGTGCAGTTGCAAACCGTAGTCTGGCTTTTTTATGGCGGTTTTGGAGCAGTGACTTCTTCCTTGCTGAGCGTCCTTTCAGGTTATGTCGATATAGGACTAGTTTTACTGTGGATATAGATACTTTTGTACCTGTTTTCTCCAGCATCTTCACAAGGTCCTTTGCTGTTGTTCTGGGATTGATTTTCACTTTTCGCACCAAAGTACGTTCATCTCTTGGAGACAGAACGCATCTCCTTCCTGAGCGGTATGATGGCTGCGTGGTCCCATGGTGTTTATACTTGCGTACTATTGTTTGTACAGATGAACGTGGTACCTTCAGGCGTTTGGAAATTGCTCCCAAGGATGAACTAGACTTGTGGAGGTCTACATATTTTTTTCTGAGGTCTTTGCTGATGTCAAGCAAAGAGGCACTGAGTTTGAAGGTAGGCCTTGAAATACATCCACAGGTACACCTCCAATTGACTCAAATGATGTCAATTAGCCTATCAGAAGCTTCTAAAGCCATGACATCATTTTCTGGAATTTTCCAAGCTGTTTAAAAGGCACAGTCAACTTAGTGTATGTAAACTTCTGACCCACTGGAATTGTGATACAGTGAATTATAAGTGAAATAATCTGTCTGTACACAATTGTTGGAAAAATTACTTGTGTCATGCACAAAGTAGATGTCCTAAACGACATGCCAAAATTATAGTTTGTTAAAAAGAAGCAGTTTCCATACCAGGCGGTGATGCAACCAGTCAGGATGCTCTCGATGGGGGTGTGTGCTGTCCTCTTATTTTTCTTATATTCCACAATCATCTCCTTTGTCTTGATCACGTTGAGGGAGAGGTTGTTGTCCTGGCACCACATGGCCAGGTCTCTGACCTTCTCCCTATAGGCTGTCTCGTCGTTGTCGGTGATCAGGCCTACCACTGTTGTGTCATCGGCAAACTTAATGATGGTGTTGGAGTCGTGCCTGGCCATGCAGTCATGAGTGAACAGGGAGTACAGGAGGGGACTGAGCACGCACCCCTGAGGGGCCCCCGTGTTGAGGATCAGCGTGGCGGATGTGTTGTTACCTACCCTTACCATCTGGGGGCGGCCCGTCAGGAAGTCCAGGATCCAGTTGCAGAGGGAGGTGTTTAGTCCCAGGGTCCTTAGCTTAGTGATGAGCTTTGAGGGCACTATGGTGTTGAACGCTGAGCTGTAGTCAATGAATAGCATTCTCACATAGGTATTCCTTTTGTCCAGGTGTGAAAGGGCAGTGTGGAGCGCAATAAAGATTGCATCATCTGTGGATCTGTTGGGGTGGTATGCAAATTGGAGTGGGTGTAGGGTTTCTGGAATAATGGTGTTGATGTGAGCCATGACCAGCCTTTCAAAGCACTTCATGGCTACAGACGTGAGTGCTACGGGTCGGTAGTCATTTAGGCAGGTTACCTTAGTGTTCTTACTCAGTACTTTGTTGAAGCCCCTTTTGCTGCGATTACAGCTTCGAGTCTTCTTGGGTATGATGCTACACGCTTGGCACACCTGTATTTGGGGAGTTTCCCATTCTTCTCTGCAGATCCTCTCAAGCTCTGTCAGGTTGGATGGGGAGTGTTGCTGCACAGCTATTTTC